AGCCCCCAAGAGATGTGGAACTCGGGTTGTCAATTGGGTAAGTGGCGCCAGGGGAGTCTGGAGGGGGCATGGTGCCACTCTAGGGGTGGTCTCTGGGCAGTCATGGGAGGCCTCAGCAATGAGGGGGCCACATAGCTTTACAGAAGATGGAAAAATACATTTTGTTCATAGTAACTGTTTCAAAAGCTGCCAGAATTTTGGTGGGGGAAATCAGATTCCTTTGTTCTTGAGAGTATAAAAATCTCATGTTTTTTAAGAAGGTAGAAATTAAAATCCTCCACACCCATCTGCTCCTGACACACACAACTTATTGGCTGTTCTGCTAAATCAACACTGATGAGTGTGGGCTCTGGGACACCCAGGGAATGTGGTTCCTGGGGTACCTATGGAAGCCCCAGGCTTCCTCAGGCCCTGGCTCTGACCCAAGACTAGGCTGGGCCCTGAGGGTGGGGGCTTCTTCACCAGGTCCCAGCCCAGCCCCACCTTCAAGCCCTGAGGGATACTAGGGCTAGTGCACAGGTGACAATGAGGGTTAGGTCCCCTGATTGCCATGCCTCCCCTACCCATAAGTCACAGAGGGAGCAGGCATCACTAACCAGACAGGAGGCCCTTGGGCTCTTTGCAGAGAGGAGCTAAGTCTCCTGAACTGAGCAAGAGGAGAAAGCTCTGATTCTGCTGTGTCCACAGTGGCCCTAAACTTCCAGACGCCAGGCTACGAGATGGACCTCAATGCCGGGCGCTTCCTCATCAATGGGCAGTGTGGCTACGTCCTGAAACCTGCCTGCCTAAGGCAGCTGGATACCACCTTTGACCCTGAGTGCCCTGGACCCCCTAGAACCACTCTTACCATCCAGGTCAGCAACCTAGACCGTGCCCTAGGCTGGGGTCAGAGCTGGTTCTAGAGAGGCCCTTCTGAGGGAAAGAAGACAGGGAAGCCTGGGGGCAGGCTTGGTGTGAGGGCAGTCTGAGCCTCAGCCCCATAAGGGAAGGGCTGGTCTGAGTGCCAGTGGTGAGGGTAGACATGGGTCCCAGCTTCCTCCCTCCCTCCCCCAGGTGCTAACGGCACAGCAGCTGCCCAAGCTGAACGCAGAGAAGCCACACTCCATTGTGGACCCCCTGGTTCGTGTTGAGATTCATGGGGTGCCTGCAGACTGTGCCCGGAAAGAGACTAGCTACGTGCTCAACAATGGTAGGCAAGGGCCGGGTTTGGTAGCTCATGCCTATAATCCTAGCACTATGGGAGGCCGAGGCAGAAGGATAGCTTGAGCTCAGGAGTTACAGAGTAGCCTGAGCAAGAGCAAGACTCCTCTCTACTAAAAATAGAAAGATTAGCCAGGCATTGTGGCCAGCACCTATAGTGCCAGCTACTTGGGAGGCTGTGGCTGGAGGAGCACTTGAACCCAGAAGTTTGAGGTTAATGTGAGCTAGGCTGATACCATGGCACTCTAGCCTGAGTGATCATCTGGCTCAAAAAAAAAAGTTAAGGCCAGGTGTGGTAGCTCACACCTGTAATCCTAGCACTCTGGGAGGCCAATGCAGGTAGATTGCCTGAGATCACAGGTTTGAGACCAGCCTGAGCCAGAGTGAGACCAGGTCTCTAAAAATAGCCAGGTATTGTGGCAGGCACCTGTAGTCCCACCTCCGCAGGAGGCTGAGGCAAGAGAATTGCTTGAGCCTAAGAGGTTGAGGTTGCTGTGAACTATGACACCATGGCACTCTACCAAGGATGACAAAAGGAAACTCTTTACCAAAAAAAAAAAAGTAAAAAACAACATAACAGTGGTAGAGAACACACTGGTGGGATGGGGAGCAGGCAGCAGAGAATGGAGGGAGTGTAGGGCTTGCTGGGCACTGGGCCCTAGGCTCTGACTACCAGGCCTGTGCCCTAGGCTTCAACCCCTGCTGGGAGCAGACCCTGCAGTTCCAGCTGAGAGCTCCAGAGCTGGTGCTGGTCCGGTTCGTGGTAGAAGATTATGACACCACCTCCCCCAATGACTTCGTGGGCCAGTTTACACTGCCTCTCAACAGCCTGAAGCAAGGTTGGTGGCGGTTGGTGGGGCTGGAAAAGGACAGGGTCGTTGCCTCTCTGTTTAGCTTTGCTGCATGGTGCCTGAGAGATCACCCTAAACTAAGTCTAGGCTGGGGCTGAGCCCAGGGATGGGCAGAGGACCTAATACTTGGCTACCCTCCCTACAGGGTACCGGCACATCCACCTGCTTTCCAAGGATGGGGCCTCGCTGTCACCAGCCACACTTTTTGTCCACATCCGTATCCAGCATTCCTAAAGGCTCCACTGACCCATCCTGGGGGGTCTGCAGGTGCCAATCTATATCCCCTGCAGAGCCTTCACCGCCTCTGGAGTGGAGGGATGATGGGAGTTCCAGCCCCCTCAGCTACCCCACTGGGCCCATTCACCTGGTGATGGGCTCACCTGGGTGAAAAGGGCTTCCTGGGTCCCTCCTGAAGAACAGGTGTGACCTGTTCTTTGCAGAGCTGCTCATAAGATTTCAGCGAGCTCCAGCCCTGGGGCCCTAAGACAGCTCCAGCTACTCTTGTCCTTAGCCCACCTCCTCACCTTGGCTGATGAAGAGCCAGGCCTGTTGCTGCCAGGAAACTTGGGGAGCAAGACACCTGTGACCCCAGCCCTCCAGCAGGGCCAAAGTACTCTGTACTTCCTCCTATAGCTACCCCCTAACCCCCACCCTGGGCATTAGCCAGCCCCTGAGCCTCTTTTCCCCCCAGGCTTTCCTGAATTCCTCCTTAAGTTCTTGAACCTGAACTCCCCTTCCTTCCCCAAAGCAAGAAGGGAGGGGTGAGGTTCAGAGCATTGGGGAACATGTCCATAGGTTTTTAATTTGTGTCCTAGAAGAGCCCTGGAGAGGACAGTAGGAGACTATTTTTAAAAATAAAGCAAGCTGGGCATGGTGGTGAGCCCTATGATCCTAGGTGGGTTGACACTGACCAGAGGCGGGAGGATTGCTTAAGCCCAGGAATGCGAGTCCAGCCTGGGCAACACAGTGAGACCCCACTGTAAAAAAATGAAAGAAAAAATTAAAAAGTGAGTTTATTTTACCACTGCCACCCCGAGTCCCTCTACAATGCTACACCCACAGACAACCTATGGGGGAGGAGGTGGCCTGGGATTAGAGTCTCTGGGGTCTCTTCCCTCCCTCAGCAGGGCTTTGACTTGTTTAAGACAGCTAGTGGGTAACAGAAGATGCCACATCTCAAAATAGCCCTGACCCTTTCTTTTGGCTTAAAGCTGCTGCCAGTATCACAGGACTATCTAAGGACACCAATTCACAAGGTCACCTCTCCCAGAGTGCATATATGAACAGACAAACACACATGGGTCTTGAATGTTACGCGGGACTCCAAGGGACCCTCAGACAGCCCCCCATTCTCTAGGCTCAGCTAGGTTCAAAGCCCTCGTCTCCTCAGTTGGGCAAATCCTAAAGACTAGGAACTCCCCTTCCACCAGCCAGCCAGCCTTTTAGACACAGGCAGGAAGGCAGCAGGCCACTCTAGAGCAGTGCCAGAAGAGCACACGGGCACCTGCTGACACATTCCAGAGAAAACTCTGGGCCCTTAACTTTATGGGCTTAAGTGTGGAGCCCTGGCATTTTAGGTTCTGTCAGGCAATAGCACTGGCGCTGACAAGGGCAGAGCTTGATGACAGTCCCCACACAGTGGCCTCGGCTTAGGCCTTGGATTGGCTCCAAGCCCCAAAAGAACCAAAATCTGAGGATGGGACAGCCTCTACCTTCCTGCAACCCCAGAACCTGATATATAAAGTACCAGCCTCCCCCTGCTCTCAGTTCATGCTTGGGAGTGGAGTTTGGTTCTGATGAAATCATATGTCTGAAAGAGAATGATCAGGACCTAAATTTAGGGCCCAGAAGGAATGAGCTGGGCAGCCCCAGCACCTGTCAGGGCTGTCAGGAGGACCAGGCAAGCAAGCCACACCCCCAGGGGGGAGGCAAGGTCAAGTCCAGTTGCAGTGTATGAAGAGCAATCAGTGTTGTCTCTGCGCCATCTCTGTCAGTGGCTGCCTGGGGTCCTATGTGAGGTGAGCACAAGCCAGGGCTGAGCACCTCCATCCTGCTTTGCTTCTCTGTTTTGGTGTCTCAAAAGGAAGGCAGATGGCTAGAATGACGGCCCAGTGCAGGGAAGATTGCCTTTAACAGGCCAGGGTCTCGAAGGCTAGGAAGCTGTCAGAAGCTGAATATGGGAGGTTGGAATAAGTGAGAAATCACAGCTTTTAACCCTAGAGGTCCATGTTCTCCAGCCCAGAACAGGAATGAAGGCATGAGCAGGAGCCACAGTGACCTGGTCTGAGACAGGAGGGTGGAGGGCAAAGGTGTGGGTTTAGGAAGGGCCTGTGTCCTCCAATAAGGTTCCTTGGAAAGAGGCTCAGAGTTACCAGCCCCAGGGGCCTGAAAGTCTGATGAGATCAGGGAATGGATGAGAAGTTCCAAAGGACTAGAATGGAGCAGTGAGAAGTCCAAATACAGCTACGGGACCCCAGCAATCTGCCATGTTAAAATGACACCTCCTGGAAGCCTCAAATAGAAAACAACTGGCCAGTGGCCCAGCAAGGGACATGTTCTACCTGAACACAGTGAGGTGAGGGGCCTGCTCCCAACATTGGAGAAGCCATTGCCAACCTGGGCTGAAGGGGCTATTCTGCTCCCAGCTGGGGAAGTCCAGGCTGCCAACATACTCGGGTGCTGGCTCAGCATGGCTACTTCACTTACATGGAATCAACCTGGGTCGGTACCAGCTCCTCTGTGCCAGGTGGTAAAGGATGGGGGGAACAGCCAAGTTTGCCCTGAAAGAAGGGCAGCCTTGTCCAAGACAGGGCTTTCAAAGCTGGCCTGGTGCTACGAGGGGGCCTGAGTGCTTTTCTTATGGGGCCCTGTCACCCTCACTCTAACTCAGGCTTCAGAACTCCATCTGTCCACTGCCACCTGACCAGAAATACCAGGAGGGCAGATGGGTTTGTTCAGCTGCTTCCTTTATTAGAAATAAGTGAGATGTATTGAGCAGAACAACAATGCATTTGGTATTTCCTCCCCCACCCTGGAAATGAATACCCCCCCACACATACAGCCCAAAGAAAAGGCAAGACAAAAAGGTGAAGCTTCCCCTCCCTGTTCCCAGACGAGGCACCTGCCTGTCAGTCAGTATTTTGGAATTTAATTGAATGAAATTGTCCTGAACAGCCTCCCTAGGAGTAGTCTGCTGGTGGGCCTGCCTTTATTTTGCAGCAGGGGAAAAGTGATGTCTTGGGCTTCCTCTGGTTCTGTGGCCAGACCATAGCAAGGCTGCCCACAGGTGGGTAGGCACCGACCAGAGACTTGCCCCTCTCTCCACTGACCATATGGCCCTTCTCTCTCCTAGACTGTAGTGCCATGCAGCTGTCCAAGGCCTTTAGGTCCTTAGGTTAGTTAAATGCTGGTCATATTTGGGGAAAGAATTCAAGACCACAGGGACATCCACCTCTAGACTTTAGAGAGCCAGCAAGTATGAGGGTCAGTGGCAATTAGAAGGGCCTGAAGCTTTCCACGAACCTTGGTATTAAAGTAGCTTGATGTAGGCCAGCCTTCAAACAAGACATCAGCCTCTTCGGAAACAGGCATGTGTGGGAAGACGGAGCCCTGTGTAGGCCCTAGTAGGGAGCTGAGGCCTCCTTTCCACATAGGTCTCTCCCTACACAAAGCATGGAGTTTGCAGGAAAATGCAGCGTCAATTCAAAGGCAGGAGGTTAAGGTTATCTTCAAAACACAGCAGCCAAGAGGGGTAGTGCAGGGTGGGGGCCAGGCCTGGGAGGTCTTCCAATAGCAGCTGCTTGAGGCAGGTCAGCTCAGAGGCTCTGGGGTCCTTGCCTTGTTTGGTTCAAGCCAGCCATGGTGCCACCATACCACACAGCTTCTATGGGGAGGCCATGGAGCCCACAATGGTACTTTCTGACCTGAAGTCTGAGAAGGGGTTGAGTGAAGAACCCAGGGGCCGTTTGGTCAAAAACAAGACTAACAGTATACCCTCAAGCCAATTCCTACAGATCCAGGCAGGGTCCCCACCGTGAGATAACAGCAGAGTCCAAGGAGCAGGCCACCTGGTTTTGGCAATGGAGATGCCAGGGTCTTTGCCAGGAGATCTGTTTCTTCCAGAGCAGCCACCAGGGCCTCACTGTTTCCATTCTATGACCTGGGTCAACCAAAAGCAAATCTTGCTTCAGAGATCTGTGCAGCCCAAATCTCAAGACGCAGCTCAAGCAGGAATCTGGCCCAGAAATGATCAAGACTAGGACAGGCAGCCTTTCCAAGTTCCAGGTCACCCCAATGGTAGGAAAGACTTGGGGTGCCATTTGCCTGTGTGCCTGTTGTTAGTGAGGCTGTAAGTGCAAGCCCCTGCCTCTCCGACTCCTCTGGTCTGCGGAATGCAGTGTACATCTTGCTAAGAACAGCAGCTTCTTTGGTCGGGATATCTTGGAGTCAAGGAGTCAATGGACAGCCATCAGGGCTAGAGCCTGCAGTTTGCAGCACAGGAACAACTAGGAGAAGGGAGGCCCCTAGAAGCCTGATAACAACACACCTCAGTAGAATTGATGGCTCTAACAAGTCTGCAGAGAGTGGACAGCTTTCCCACTGGTGGGAAATACAGGCCCCATCCCAAGCACCCAATTTCCTCCAGCTTTGGGGACTCTGTAGAATTAACCTCTACTCTATAGCAAACCACACCCAAACCCACAGCCTGAAACAAGCCCCTGTTGGCCTGTAGACTGTGGCTTCAGTTAGTGTGATAAGGTTGAGCCTGGCCTCCTGGCTAAGCCTTTATTCCTGTACAAGCTGAGAGCAAGAAAACTCCCCACACCACACATCACACTACCCACCCATTTACTTCCTCCCAGAGCAAAAGCTACATACAACCCTTCATACAGGTTGCTGACAATTCCACAGCCTGGTCCTCCCCAGGCCACTTGGCTGAATTTAAGAATACCTGGACAGCCATGTGACTAGAGGCTTGATTACTTTTTGGGAAGCTGGAAGCACTGATACCATCACTACCACCACAAAGATCCAGAAAATAGGCATCAGTGAGAATCAGACTCAGACAACGGCAATGTGAAGCCATTTCTGTTGCCGAGTCCAGATCTGCCTCTAATCACCATTTCTTGTGGCCACTTGCAAGCTATGTCTTGGAAAGGAGCACAAGAAACAGCTGACGGATTGGAAGGCACAGGCCAGGTGACTGAGAGGGTCTGGGTACTGGCCTCGTGCCATCTCTGCTCAGCCACCCTGGGACACCCAGGTCCTGGCTCTTTGCTCTAAGATGAGCTAAGCAGGGCCTACACTGATGTGGTCTTTGCAGGTCCCAGATGCTACAAGGAGAAGCAAGGGCCCCTTCACACTGCAGCCACCCCAGGCAGTGGAAAAGCAAAAATCACACAGGGACTCATCCCTTAGGGTTGGCAACAGCTGGCTAAAGAGCCCTTTTAAGTCAGTTGGCAGGATAACATCCTGCAGGCCAAAGAGATAGAAGGGACTCGATCAATGAAATCTGCTTCAACAGATCTGTCCCCTTTGCTATTCCAAAATGCACTAAGGCCTGGTCCCTGTAGGGGTCAGCCTCACCCAAGAGCTTCACCTGCCATTCTGTGAGATCTGAACCTGTTCCACCTTCCCCTCCCTCTCAAAGACAATCACTCCAGCCAATTCAGAAAGGAACCTGGATAAGCCCCCCTCAAAGCTTTCTCCTGCTACCCCAAGAAAAGTCAATGCCTCCTTTTGGAGGAAACAATTAATTGTACCAATATGTCAGTCTGCCACTGTCCTTGGGTCCTAATTTTGAGGAATGATCTGGATTCAGCTTTCCATTAGAGAGCAAACATCCTTGTACATTTGAACATGAAAGATAGTTAAAATATTTATATATATAATATATATATACTTTTATTATTCACCCGTTAACTCCATAATATGCAATCACGAGCTAGTTTTCAGCAGTTACATTCCCTTGATCATGGCTGCATGAAGATGTGATTAACTGGAAAACAGGGAGACCAGAGACACGGCCAAAGATGACATCACACAGCCCACGCCATTGCAATACAATTATCAAGTTTGCTGGCGGTTTCGTAAAGCCGATTCAGCTCTGCTCCCTTTGCCAGGGATTCTCACATTTGTGAAAATCGGACCAATTTGTGGGGTTCCATTTCCTGGTTGGAATTCTCAGTGGCTTTATCCAGAATCTCACTGGTGACTGGTTATTGTAGCACCAGCCCAACCTAGGAGAGCCAAGGGAGAGAGACAAGGTTCAGGTGACAGTCACCCTAAGATTTCCCACTACCCTTAATCCTAAAGTTCCAACTGACTGAGTCTGCAGGACAGGCTGTGTACAGACCTCCACCACACCAGGCCTCCACTCAACTTCCACACCAGGTTCACACATCTGCCAGACCCTCCCAGGAAAGCAACGGGCTTCCCTAGGACAAGTGGCTCCAGATCACCTATAAATGCTGCCTCCACCTATGCCCCAAGTCTGCCCTGTGGCACTAAGGAGCATCAGGGTGGCAGCTCAGAGAGGATTCTCCAACCCTAACTCAACTCCCAGTTTTCTCACACAGCGTGAATGCTCTGCCCAGCTGGATGGGGCAGCTAAGGTGGTGGGGAAAGAAGCTGAAGACCACCTTCCAGCTTCCATGTAGCTCTGGGACCTGCCCCCCTCTGCTGTCCTCATACCAGGTGCTGAAAGGAGAATCCTGACCCACTGACCTGGCCATCAGAGGGAGGCAATGTCAAGGGTCCAACACCAGGTAACAAGGGCTTAGACTTCTGCTATTCCCTGACCCATGACCCTGTTTTCTGCTGGAGACACCAACTCCCAGAGCCAGGTGAGGCCAGACTCCATCCACATAAAGCACAGCACATACCTTCTCTGCCCCCATGCTGGGGCACTTCCAATTGTAAAGGTAATACTGCAAGTTGCCATCCCCTATGCCGAACTTGAGCTTCTCCAGGAAAGTTTTGTTCTCCATGAGATCCAGTGCATTAAACACGTCAAACCCTTTCTGCATGGCAGCAGAGAAAAACAAGAGCAGGTGAGGACAGGTGAGGGCTGCCTCATCTTTCTGTTCCCTTTGCTATCATATCAAAACCATCCTATAGAAGATTCCTTTAGAAACTCTGCTGTTGCTCGGCGCCGATAGCTCAACCGGCTAAGGCGCCAGCCATGTACACCTCAGGTGGCGGGTTCGAATCCCCAGCCCAGACCCGCCAAACAACAATGACGGCTGCAACCAAAAAAATAGCCGGGTGTTGTGGCGGGCGCCTGTGGTCCCAGCTACTTGGAAGGCAGAGGCAGGAGACTCGCTTGAGCCCAGGAGTTGGAGGTTGCTGTGAGCTGTAATGCCACGGCACTCTACCCAGGGTGACAGCTTGAGGCTCTGTCTCAAAAAAAAAAAAAGAAACTCTGCTGCTTCCCTGTTAAATCCAAACTCCAGCAGGCGCATGGCTATCCAGATGCAGTTCACAAGACATGGCATGCCACCCCCAAGTGTCCAAGTGTATACTCGGTGTCCAGACGACGGCTATTACTGTCCTTTTTATGCCTCCCTGAAACTCTAGTAATTTCCATAGTCCTCTCTGGAGACCAAGCCCTGAGCCCTTCCTCTGAGTAGCTGGCTCCTGTCCTCTATTGGCATTTGTGTTGCTTCCTTACTCCACGGACACCCCAACTCTCAGGCCCTCAGTGGGCACCGTGTGACCATGTGGCAGGTGCTGTGGTACTCTGAGAATGAGCTGAAGACACTCCTCAATCTCACCAACTGGACTGGAAGTTCTCACAGGGCAGGGACTGGCATGCCCACAGTGGGCTAGGCTGGTAGCAGGAGGTCACCAGAACCCCATGACAAAGGACTAACTAATGACCTCTCCACCCCATGCTCAACAGTCAGGTCCTCCAGTACTCACCAAGACAGAGGCCAATCTCCCCTCTCCCAGGCTGGGAAAGCTGTGAGAAGAACCCCTGTACTCCCAGAGCCGGCCTAACTATTTAGGGTCCGTGGTGGTACCTCCTGTGAGAACGAAACTCACTGAAATAAATCAGGAGGCATTCAATGCCTTCACTGTGTCTGGATGCTCCTTGTTCCCTCCTACTCTTAAGTTTTTGGCTGAAAACCATGGGGACGCTGCCTAAGCAGTGTATGAGGAGGGTGAGAGGGGCTCAAAGCCTCCCAGCCCACAAGCAATTACCTCCTGGGAGCTACGCTCACCATTGCTCCCCTGCCCCTGCCCTACAGGTCTCTGGAGACCCTCTAGTCTGCTCCTCACCATTTTGGCGAGAACAAGGGCGTCACTCATGAGGTCTAGAAGAGGGGTCTGGGTGTGCACGTTGTAGAAAGAATAAGCAGCTTTTAGACTCTTGTGGGTTGGATGGTTCATGATGGTGGAGGGAAGCGTATAAAAGCTCAGGAAATCCGTTACCTCTCCATTTGCATTCTAAAGAGAAGATAATAAAGAGACCAGGTCAAACACGCACTGGGGCACTGCAGCCAGAAACATGTTTTCTCTTACTCTCATGCCACCTTCAGCAGCTCTGCCTCCTCCCTCCCCCAGATAAAATGGGTGGAAACTGCAACAGGATATGCAGGGAAGAGGACAATGAGAACAGCGCCAGGCTGACTAGGCCGACCCTGCCAGCCCTCTTTGCCAGCCTGGGCACCACCAGGAACTTCCCCTCAGGCTATGTCTCTGATGTGTGACCAGCACTGTATTAAGCTGGGGCAGGCAAGGAACTGAAGGTTCACCTGACTAAGAGGGGCTTGGTCCTCTCCATTCTGTTATCAAATGTGGGGACAGGGAGAAAAGAGGTCAAGCCAGGTCCAGAAGGTATCTATCGTTTCAGCACATGCAAGCTACAATGTCCTCTCTTTAGGGTGAACCAAATGCAGGTGCTGAAGGAAGTCTATGGTGGGAACCACTTCAGGAGGATGCCTTTCTGGGGATAAGCCTGAGGCCCTGCACACTGCCCCCCACTCACCTCCACCACGAAAGTGTCAATGATATTCTCCTGGGGGTAGAACCAGTGCTCCACCTCCTCCTGGTTCATGACTGGCGTGAGGTGAAACTGCTTCAAGTACCTGGTGAGGAGCTGGTGCACTACTGGAATGTCCTTTTTTTCCATTGGTCGTAGTCCAGCTGTCTTGGGAGTCTGGAAAGAAGACAGAAGAGATGGCATCAGAGATCACCCTGGGTCTACTCACCTAGGTCCTCAAGAGAGAGCCCTTGGACATCCTCAGTACCTCCCTGTCACCCCTGTGCCTGTCTGTTCAGGTGTAGGTTCTGCCTCTGGCCTATCTTGTGGCCCTTCCCCTCCTAGTCCAGGCTGTCATCCAAGCTCAGGCCACAGCATCAATCCATTATCCATAGGGCCCCAGGCTACTTCCTAAAAAAAGCACAACCCATGACACCCACCCTTGTTTCACCCTTCCAGACCTAGAGCACAAGACCTTCCACCCTCTGGCCAGTTGGCTGTTCAAGCTGAACCTTCTGTCTTCTAACTGGGGTCAATTCACCCTCGGGGTAAACTTCCTCTGAGTCCTCACAACTGCGTCACACTGAGTGTAGCTAATGTCTTTCTACAGTCACTGATCTCTCTTCTTAGAGCACCTCATAGACAGAGCCTGGGGCCCAGCATACACTGGATGTGTGCTTTGTCTGCCCACTTGGACCACCAGCTCCTGACAGGACACTGCAGCAAGTTACATTCGAAAGAAAAGCATCCAACTCCCAGTACTGTATCTCCAACCAGCGTCCCACCCCAAAGCTGCTTTTCCTAGAAAAATGCTCCAGTGGAACGAAATCACATGACTCTATAGAGCAAAGACTCAGAGACACAAACGTGGGGTCAGGCCAAGTCTACCAACAGTGTGGTGTCACAGTTTACTGGCTTCACTACCAGATATAAGGCTTCCCAGTACAGGAAGTATCTTCAAACCATCAGTTATAGGTCTTCTCACCTCTAAGATTCCTTAGCAATCCTTGTCTCTCTAAGGAACAATACCAACCTCTTTCTATGTGCCAGCTCCCTGAATCACACCTCAAGCCCTGACTGAAAACACAGCCATGCTGGGGTCTCAGTAGACCCCGATACTCTTCCAGCTGCAGCAGCACTTTAAGTTTGATCTCTGCCTACCCACCCTCCCCACATGCAAAGCACACCTGCCTGAGGCACCCACCAGAGCCTCCCATACCTGTGCGTTGACAGTGTCCAACTACACTGCAGCAGTCTCTCAAGATGGGACACTAATGACCCCAAACCAATGGATCAACCCAATTCCAGGGTGATTAATCCTGTTTGCTGGCTGATGGACCCTGGTAGGTGGCCCTCTGATGAGCTGGCTCCCCTAACTGTTTGGACTGACAGCCAACTGGAACTGTTCCAAGGAAAGAGGAAGGACTTTAAGAATCCCCTACTCTGGGGTGCTGAAGCCAGGTACAATCAGAGAACAAGGAGCATTTGTTTTGGGGGGAAAGTTAGGAAAACTGAGACCTAGGACAGAAAACTGGATCCCTCAGGTTACCTAGTCCTTTGATGCCAAATCTGAGGAAGGGAATTGGTATTAGAAGCTTGGGCTTCCCTCACAAGCTTCCCCTCTTCACTGGACTTGGACAGAGGAGGTGCAACAGACACTCTAGTGTCATTTGCACTGGGATTTGGAAAGTGCTGCTGTGAATATGAACGTTCAGTGAGTGAATTCATCTTTCTATTTATGTTTCACTTGGTCTAAAATTACAGAGAATAGGTGTTTTTGGAGCTTATCAACAGATGGCAGGGAAACTAGTCCAGGTGCAGACTCAAGGGAACCGAGAAAATCAAACTAAAATAAAACCCTTAATGTAGATAACAGGAACAACAGAAATAGAAAGCACAGGAATCTGGTAACTATGCGCAGGTTTGCTTTTTTGGTAAGAGCAAAGCCTCCCGAAGCCCTGCTCTTCTGCGGACGGCAAGGCTTTCCTGACCTCCTTCCTGGCCATGCCCCTTGCCCCCTGCCACCACTGGCCTCTGGCAGTCGGTAGAGCTTCATGGTACGCTGCATGGTCATATTTCTGCTCAGATGGGAAAACTTCACTTCAATCAGCTTCCGTGGGTTTAGGGACCGATGCCAGTACCTGTGGGGACACAAAAGTCCTATCCTCAGGACTCAGGCTAGTCCCATTAAGAGGACAATGGCAAGGAGACCTCCAGATGTCCAGTAGGTGGCGTGAGAGACACGTGTCACCTCTATCCCCAGCATGACCCTCCAGTGAATACAGAGCTTCCATGGCTCCTCCTAGATTTTCTTTCTTTTTTTTTTTTTGAGACAGAGTATCACTTTGTTGCCCTGGCATCATCGCTCACAGTAACCTCAAACTCTTGGCCTCAAGCCATCCTCTTGCCTCAGCCTCCTGAGTAGCTGGACTACAGGTGCCCGCTACAATGCCCATCTAGTTTTTTCTATTTTCAGTAGAGATGGGGGTCTCACTCTTGCTCAGGCTGGTCTTGAACTCCTGAGCTCAGGCAATCCACCCTCCTTGGCCTCCCAGAGTGCTAGGATTCATTATAGGCTTCAGCTACTGTGCCCAGCTTCCTCCTAGATTTTCTTTCTCCCTATTTTTTTCCTCAATTTCAAAAGCTATTCTTTTTATTAACTTAATTTTTTTTTTTTTTGAAACAGTGTCTCAAGCTGTCACCCTAGGTAGAGTGCTGTGGCATCTACCACAGAGCCACCTCCAACTCTTTCCTGGGCTCAAGTGATCCTCTTGCCTCAGTTTCTCTATTTTTAGTAGACAGGGTCTCACTTTTGTTCAGGCTGGTCTCAAACTCCTGAGCTCAAGGAGTTTGAGACCCGCCTGACCTCTCAGAGTGCTAGGATTACAGGCGTGAGCCACCACACAGTGAGCCACTGCACCAGGCCAAAAGCTACTATTTTGCTACAGTAGTTGTCTGGGGAAACTAGAATCAAGTCAACACCCAGGAGACTGGCAGATGTGTTCATCCTCCCCTTCTGCATTTACACCTAGTGTTTCTACTTTTAAAGTTCTCTAGGCAGAGATTATTCAATTACTTCAAATAACTTTCTAAGGCAGAGGCTATCCTTGGATCACATAGGGATCAGACACGTTCTCTTTGGCCCATAAAATATTCAAACAAAATTAAGCCAACCATGTTACACTTTAAAAGGACATTTCTCACCCCCCTACACACAAAATCTATGTTGGGCTCATTCTTTAAAAAAAAAAAAAATAAGAACACCCCCCCACACACACACAGCAGGCTGCTACCCCCATCTCCAAATGGCTGTACCAGCAGGTGCTGAGAATGGCTTACCCGCTGGACAAGGCAACCACTCTCCAGGCGGCCATTCCTACAACTCTCTCCCTTTACCCTCCCTGCTGTCCACCTAGCTTCCACAGGCACCCACCACCCAGCTTACCAGACACTAGAGAATCAAGATGTTCAAGGGCATGCACACAGCTGAGGACTATAAATTGCAACATAAGCTCCTAACTAGCGTAGGGCACCAGCATTTCCGGTATTTTCCAGGAAGAGATTTTTACCTGCAGGTACCAACAGGCTTTGGTAGTACCACACCGGCAGTGTAAACAGCTTGGAAAATGCCCTCCAGGTGAACCCGCCTGGTTATCTCTCGGATCAGGACTGGAGCCACCCTCTTAGACCGCAGCTTCTTATGTACACATAAGAAGTTAATTTCTACCATCTTCTTTTCTCTAAAGAGAGAGGAAAAATCTAGGTGACAAGGCTTTTAACAAAGAAGGTAATAGAAAAGCCATCAAGCATGTGAAGTCAGACCTGGAAGGACAGGGCCTCTAGCAGAAGTATGCACTTTGCTGTGACCTGCACTCAGCACTCAGTACCAGACTCCCTCCCACTTCTCAACCAGCCTCCACCAGGCCAGGAGCTCACCACAGGACACCACAGACTCCACCCCTAATGGAGAATGGGTGTCGAGCAAACACCCTTATTTGAAGGCAACACCAGCATCTGCTTGATGAATTCTCAGTAGCAGGCTGGGGAATTTCCCCACCCTCACCCCATTAGCATCCAGGGAAGCAACATAGGGAAAGGTCATAGGGTAGGCCAAGATTGCTCACCACTCTAGGGTTTCAAGGGTTCTGATTCCCTTGAAGGGGTAATCAAGGGAATCCCTTCTTCCCACAAGAACATAGGCTATAAGTCTTGAAGACTGTGGCAGATTGTTCTGACTACAGGCCCCAAGGACTATCTGAATCTAGGTCACACTGGCTCTGACCCATTTCTGGTGCTGCTCAAGTATATCTGTGTGATGGGTACAGGAGTTCAAAAAAGAGCCCCTGCTGAGCAGACACACTGACCCCTTCCAGCCCACACACAGACAAGGGAGCCAGCTGTAACTCAGGTCACAACAGGTGGTTCCCCTATGAGAAGGTTCTCCCTTCCTAAGACCTTCTCTTTTCATGAGGGATACCTGTAGCCTTTTTCTCCTCCCTCCCAGACCAAGCAGAATGGTGGTGATGTGGGGAATGAGGGTGCTTACGTGTCATAGACATGGATTTTCGCTGGGATGGCACTAATAAACCCAACCAGTTTCCGACTTGAGACCACTCGAACCCCACAGTGCCATTGCGGGAGCCAGCCGGGTGGCCGGAGAGCCCTGGAAAAAACAGACAGAGACTGGGGCTATGGCAGTGCTTGCCAGCAGCCTGAACAAACTGTTTGGGCTCCACAGCCAACTTTGATTCTAACCTGGTGCCACCACCTCCCTGGGGGCTAATAACCTAATTAATTGTCCTTAGGAACAAGCCCTCCTGGCCATTGCCATTCCTGACTACTCAGCCCACATGGCCTACTTACTCACCCAATGCAAGGCTGTCACATTGAGAATTTCATGCCTATGGGTGGCGCCTGTGGCTCAGAGAGTGGGACACTGGCCCCTTATACCGAGGGTGGCAGGTTCTAGCCCAGCCCTGGCCAAACTGCAACAAAAGATAGCCAGACATTGTGGCGGGTACCTGTAGTCCTAGCTACTCAGGAGGCTGAGGCAAGAGAGTCACCTAAGCCCAAGAGCTGAAGGTTGCTGTGAGCTGTGATGCCACAGCACTTACCAAGGGCAATAAAATGAGACTCTGTCTCTAAAAAAAAAGAGAGAGAGAATTTCCTGCCTGATCTGATTTATACATGTTCGCTTTGACCTCTGGCCTCTCTGGTTCAGAGACCTGTGTGTTCTAGGTTTGGAGCTGACTATGGAAGCCCTGGAGACCTGGTCTCCTGTCTGCCCTCTGGGTATCACTTCCCTTTTTCTGCTTACAAATTATTCTTTTCCCATCTCACCCAAGTAGTGTCTCTCCATTTCAGCCTCATGCTTCTACCTTCCTGGATATTAAATGTGGCCCAGGCAAGCAAAAGGAAGGGCCATTTCCATACAGCTGAGCATGCTCAGGAACCAGACAGAAATGACACTTCTTTTCTTTTCTTTTTTTTTTTTGAGACACAGTCTTACTGTGTTACCCTAGGTAGAGTGCTACCTCTAACTCTTGTGCTTAAGCAATTGTCTTGCCTCAGGCTCTTGTGGGTGCCCTCCACAACACCTGGCTATTTTTTGGTTGTAGTTGTCATTGTTGTTTCGCTGGTCTAGACCGGGTTCAAACCCACCTGCCTCAGTGTACATGGCTGGTACCCCAACTACTGAGCTACGGGCATTGAGCCACTTCTTTTCTTTTAAATCCTAGTAGGTGTCCCTACCCCACCCAACACACGTCCCTTCTTGTATAAAGTCACCAATAAGATGATCTTTTCTTCTGGGTTACAATTCTACAAAGGTCTTCCCTTCACCCAGTCAATCTTATATAAGGTTTCAATTCTAAGCACCACTAAAAGCAAGTCTCCTTTAGATGTAGGAACTCAAAAAATTACACACTAATTTGCCATTCAAAGGTCTGCAGGGATGAAAACTCTGCTGCCCTATGGCTGTTTTGTTTTATGCCTGGCCTTCAAGAACCTTAAGCAAGCTCTTACACCTTACCACAAAAGAAATTCTGGGGAATAATCAAATCGGAACATGTTGTCATCATCTTCCACGTAGTTCTCATTTAGGAGAGTGTACAGTTCCTTCAGCTGTAGAGAAATCAAGAGCTCATTTAGCGGTATTCTGCCAGGTGGAGTACTAACTCCAATACTGTGGGGCCCCAAGCTTTTCAGAAGGACCAGAAAAACTACCAGAAACTATGTCTAATCTCACAGATCTTTTTCACCCCAGGCATGACAGGGACTCTTTTACAACAAGCACTGTCACTGTAATAGGAGAATAAGCCAAGGGGTAAATGGCAGACCAAGAGTGCCATCTAGCTAACCAACCACTCCTATCATCTGCTCCATCACTAGTGGAGAGCCACTAGTCTCTATTTCTGTGATAATGCTGTGGAGAGATGACTCTTGGGCCTGGTGAAGGAATTACCAAAGAGAGTCACTGCTATTTCCTACCACATTTGGTTTTTATCCTCTGGCCTAAACAAAGGCCTTTTGGCCTTCTTCTGCCTTCCCAGCTATCTCCCATCTGCTGGCCCAAGTCCGGTATTAAAAAATTCTGTTCATTGGCTTGGTGCCTGTACCTCAAGCAGCTAAGGCGCCAGCCATATACACCAGAGCTGGTGGGTTTGAATCTGGCCCAAGCCTGCCAAACAATAACAACTACAACCAAAACATAGTCAGGCGTTGTGGTGGGCACCTGTAGTCCCAGCTATTTGGGAGGCTGAGGCAAGAGAATTGCTTGAGCCCAGGAATTGGAGGTTGCTGTGAGCTGTGATGGCACAGCACTCTACCCAGGGCGATAGCTTGAGGTTCTGTCTCAAAAAAAAAAAAAAATTCTGTTCACATTTTCAGCATTTCTTTTCTTTCTTTTTTTTTTTTAAACAGAGTCTCACTATGTCACCCTCAGTAGAGTGCTATAGCATCACAGCTCACAGCAACCTCAACCTCTTGGGCTTAAGCAATTCTCTTGCCTCAGCCTTCCAAAAAGCTGGGACCATAGGTGCCCACCACAACGCCTGGCTATTTTTTTTGTTGCAGTTGTCATTGTTGTTTAGCTGGCCTGGGCCATGCTCTAACATGCCAGCCTTGGTGTATATGACTGGTGCTGTAACCTCTGTGCCACGGGCACTGAGCCTTTTCATCACTTCTTATAGGGGAAAGAAATCCCTCAGGTCAAAGAAAGAGGCCCTCGGTGCTGGGATGGACAGGGGAGAAGAGACTCTCATTTAGTAGTCTCAGCTCATCAGGAGAAAGAATAGAAATCAGACAAGGGATAAATGAATGAATGAGCAAAAAAAAATGAATGAGTGAAAAAAGGGGAAGCTACAGAGATTAACTCTTAACCTGCCAGGATAGCCAAGTGCTATTTATGGGGGGAGTCTTGAGCAGGACCCAGGAAGCAACCAATGGGAAGAATGACTACTCAGACCTCTGTGGCTCAGCTCCCAAGAGTGTGAGCAGGGCTTAAGAAGATACTATCTTGGGATGACTTCAGAGGTTGCTATGAAAATGGTGATTAACTGTACTTGTAACCTTCCAAGGGCCCACTCACCACACCACGGTCCCCCAGGTCCAAGGCATCCCAGGTGAAGCCCTGGGGTAGAGTATAGGGCTCCTGCCGGATGTTATCTTTGTCGGGTTCCACAGGACCATGGGTGTTCACCACTTCGCCTGGAAGAAGAGCACAGCCATGAGCCTCACCCTCTGCCTCCTGGGGGAGAGAAGGGGCTCAGCTCAAAAACGGACCAGAGCAAACTCCTCCTGTCCCTAGGAGCCCTCTATCTGAAGAACATTTTGTGCTTGGCAACTGGAAACCATCTCTCCCAGCTACCCTTAGCCCCTATTGAGGGCCAATTCACAGCAAAACTTCAGACAATCACTAGGATCCAAAGTGGTTCATTTTTTGGAAATCCTTTTAAATTTCCCTTGGGCTACTGAATGACAAACATTTATCTTTACAAATTTGGCTTCCTGCCTCCTAGTTGGTGTAAAAAGTGCCGTCATGGCCCTGGCCCAGGCCAACAGATCTGGATGAATTTACAAGGAGTTGCAACAAGGCTGCTTTTGTGTCAACAGCAACAACAATGTAGTGGGCCCATTCCTGAACCAGATGATGGCTTCTAGGCGCCAGGCTCAACTGTGGCCCTGCCAGCCTTGGCTTTCAGCAGCATGGGCCAGTTAACTGCTACTGCCAACTTGAGACTTCAGTGTTTAGAGAGTCCTATAAGTAAATGCCTTTAGGTTGAATCACTGAGTCTACACAGTGCTGCCAGAAAGTCACTGTCTGACACAATATCCCCAATCCTGCAGAGCACACCCCTCCTCTGTGGGAATTTGTAAGGAATGCTTGGGAGTGCTCAGAAGATACAGCCCCTAATTCCTACCCAGAGCTAAACCAAATCATAGTCATTTGATAAATGTGTAATTAATCACTTAATTTTGGCCCTTGTAATTATTTAGTTTCCACATTTCAGAGGTCATTCAGGTTTAGTCTTCAACAGGGACACACTCAGTACAGTACTCGTAGCATGGGGCTCTGCATACACTAGGCACTCAATTCATGCTTTCATTGCCTTTCAGACTCCTGACCCAAATATTTCATTCTAATATGTAACAGGCAGCTCTAGACTTCCCCAAACAGATCTGTGGGGCAAGTACACTGGAAATGGCTAAAGCAAGTGACAGCTGAAGACGTCACCACCAGGACTGACCACTTCATTCTCTTCTACTAGACACATTTACTCAACACCAGCTGTGCATGAGTGACTGTGCCAGGCACTAAAATACAGCAGGGAAAAAGATGAGGTTCCTGCCCTCACAAGATATAGCATCTTCTGGGGAAACAGTAAATAAGTCATTATCCACATGCTAAGGTTCAAAAGCTTGAATATGCCAGTAACAATAGGGACATGTAAGGCCAGGCAAGGTGGCTCATGCCTGTAATCCTAACACTCTGGGAGGCTGAGGTGGGTGGATTGCTTAAGCTCAGGAGTTTGAGACCAGCTTGGGCAAGAGCAACAAGAAAATAGAAATAGGCTCGGCACCTGTGGCTCAAGTGGCTAAGGCAGCAGCCACATACACCTAAGGTGGCAGGTTCGAATCCAGCCCGGGCCCACCAAACAACAATGATGGCTGCAACCAAAAAAATAGCTGGGTGTTGTGG